CCTGAGCTCACACCACACCACACCACAGCACCCCCTCCCCCAACCCGTGCACAGCCTGCGGCAGCCCTCCCCCACCCCCCACAGCACCCCTGTGCTCCTTACCTGGGACTTCCACCTCTTCCCACTTAACCCACACATCTTGGTGTTACAACAGCGATGGGGAGTGCTGGGATTGCTGTCACTAATTGATGCAATCATGTGGCATTGCACTTTATGACCGCATCGCTTAGCGATGGGAATTCCAGTTCCAGTTGTGGTTTAAGTTGAGGACTACTTGTAACTGTTAGGCTTTTAGGGCATCAATTTTTTTGCTTTTTTAATGACTCATTTTTAAACTGATAAAAATTAAATTTATCAGTTGTCAGACTTTTAAATATTTTACTTTTAATTAACATTATTTTGCTGCTTTATCTATTTTTCTTCACCTCCAAGCTTTTCCAAGTCCTTGTGGAGTATGGAGGTACAAAAGTACAGTAAATAAATAAATAGGTCTTACCCCACAATAGCCTGGTCTCAAGACCTTTATGCAGTGTAACTCAGTTACTAAAGTAAAAGGAGAAAGGTGTTCATTAGGTAGATCAAAGGTTTAGAAACTCTGAGTAAATAATAGTTGGATACTTTTTGATTTATTTATTTATTTGATTGATTGATTGATTGACATGTAAATCACATAATCCACTAGAATATCTGGCAGTTAATAAATACATAACATAAAATGTTTATGGTAACTGTAAATAAGAAATCCATAACCAAACAACATCCCAAAACAAAGTCAAAAGCCAAGCTGACAACAGGACAAAAACCCAGACAGTGCAAGTACTCTTCAGAAGAGCTCCACTGTCAGCATCTTCTGAAATGAGCACACCATGGGGGCCAGCCTGATCTTAGCAGGGAGGCTGTTCCAAAAACCAGGCTCCTGTCATAGAAAAGTCAACACGCTCTTTAGCCCCTGCAAATAAACTATGATCAAGCTGTTGTAAGCCAGCTACTAATTCACCATTTCAGTTGGTGCCCAGTGCCCTCTAATGGCAAAAAGCTGCCATCGCATTTAAAAGTCAGGTCTAAAATCTGTGTACAGTACTGTATTAAGATGCAGGTAAACATAAAAATTCATTATCAGCCTAATCATTGATACTTGAGTTAATACTAATTTGTTTTTAACAAAGAAGTCCAGATTTTTATGTTTTCCCATACTGAAACTAGTAAGTTTATAGATTCGTGTCCCCTACTAAAGAAGAATAAGGTCAGATTGAGAGGGAATACGGTAACCCTTTCAAAGGCTGTTGGAATGGCTTTCCCATGGCAGGCAAAGCCAGAAAGAAAGACTTGATCTAATGCGGTTAAGGCATTGGAGGGTAGATCCTGCTTGAATATTAGAGAAACTGTAGTTGTAACAGGGATTTGATAATGGAGCTAAATACTGGGGGAGATGGGAATGGTCTTTTCCTTGCCAGACAGTCCATAATTGGGTGCGTTTAGATCTCGATTTCTTCCATCAATATTTGAACTAGTATTGTGAGTCATCATTAAGTCACTCTATTTCCAAATGGCTCTTATGTTTTTCACAGTGTGACTCCTCAGAGTCTGTACCTGCAGCTTTTATTCTTTTCAGCCACTTTGCCTTGTATCTTCCTTCTTTGTCCTTACCCAATTAGCTTTTAACAAGCTTAGTTTCTTTCACCAGGCATGAGAAAGGGGTGCAGCTTGATTTGTGAGCTGCTCTGACATCATGCCCTCTTTTCTCCTTCTCTGCACCTTTCCCAAGGCATATCCACATTTACTGTTTAAACTGCTCCTGTCCTGTACTCATGCTAACTTTACTCGAAACCAGCTTAAAAACATGTCTGGATTGAGACAACAGGCAAGAGCTTGCAAGGTAATCAGTCTGAACAGCAGGCAACCACATCCTTGCATTGGGCAATTCCCCTACTGCTGGGCCCTCCCACCTTTCCATTCCAGGAAAGCAATTGCCAATCACTTTTTCCTGTGAGTGGATCTTCCTGGACATACATACAAGTGTGTGAATATGTGTGTACTAAATTTATATATACAAAGTATCAAAATGCACATATATACAGGCCCAAGCAGCTGCAAAAGAGTACAGTGGTACCTCTAGTTACGAACTTAATCCGTTCTGTGACTCTGGTTGCAACTCAAG